GCACCCATTGCCGCCTTCTCTTTATCCACGATAACTCGTCCAAGCTTAGGTTTATGGTAGATACCGGAGCGCAAATCAGTTTAATCTCGTTCACTAAACAGGATGCTGCCAACCCAGCAGCACTGACTTTGCAGGCAACCAACGGTACCCCTGTCCAAACCTATAGACAGCGGCTACTGAACTTAGATCTAGGTTTAAGATGCGTCTTACCTTGGGTTTTCGTGGTCGCTCGGGTTACTTACGCCATACTTGGCCTATACTTTTTACAGCACCACGGTCTAAGCGTAGATCCCCGTAAGCGACAGATTAGATACCCAGTCACTTCTAGAGTAGTCTTCGGTTTCCTGGCATATTCCGAAACGCAGCATATACACCCCCCTTTTCCACACCATGATTCGCCATATTCATCGTTATGCCGCGAGTTCCCTAGCCTCGTCCGCCCCAGCACCGAGCTGCCACCTATCACGACGGAGGTGTCGCATCACATTGTTACTCGAAGTCCACCGGTTCTCGCACGTCCCCGTCGACTGGCATCAGATAAGTTACACCGCACGCGCATAATTTCAGCACATACTGAACATGGGCATCATACGCCCCTCCGAAAGTCCATGCGCGTCCCCTCTAGACATGGTCCCCAAAATGTCGTTCAACGACTGGTGTCCATGTGGAGACTATCGCGCACTCAGCGTGACAACTCCGGATAGGTACCCGGTTCCGCACATCACGGATCTCACGTCAGACCTAGCCGGTAGAACTCTTTCAAGCCGAATCGATCTGGTTCGCGCATACAACCAGATACCGGTAGCAGAAGCCGACTTCCCCAAAACAGCCGTAGTCACACCGTTTGGTCTATTCGAATTCCTCCGAATGCCATTCGGTTTAAGCAATGCCGTACAGTCTTTCCAACGTTTCGTTGACAGCGTTTGTAGAAGGTTAGTTTGTTTACTTAGACAATATCCTAGTGGCTAGCTCATCGCGCGAGGAGCATCTGGCACACCGAGCACTTTTTGATCTTCTGACATAGCACGATGTCACGGTCAACGCACAAAAATGTGTCTTTGGTGCCTCCAACATTGATTTTCTCGGTCACCGCATCGCAGCCACTGGTATCGAGCCACTAAGTGACAAAATTCAGGCGGTACTAGACTAATTCCGAAATAATCCCATTGTAACATCAGAACACAAGTCCGAAGGCGAACAATTGTTTTCGAATGATTCATAATCGTGCCTGTACAGATCATATAAGGGTTTGTTGTTAGTGGGGACATTTTCACACTGGGTCAAAAGGTCATTTGGGACGAGGAGAGGAGAGGGGAGGGGTAAGCTCTATGTGTCTGTGTTCGGGTGAGACTGATTGTGATTGGAGTGGTGGTGGTGATGTTGATGATCAATTTGGGGCCAGGGTAAGTGGAGAGCTTGAACCAGTCGCTTTTGTGCACAGTTCTGGTGCGAATAGGCAAATGCCTATCGCCTCAGCGATGGCTAGTGTATGCAAGCGCACTGCTTTGGAGGGGTTGGGGGGCACACGATAGATTACGTTGAAAGCAGATTCCGGTCTAATTTGATGGCTTGTATCTACTAGATGACCTAGAATGGCACTTCCTATGCTTCCTGTTCCTTCTTCTTTTAACCAATGTGGGCAGTGCTCCTTCATCCGTTGGGATAGTTGCCTCGCCGTGCGGCCAATGTACGTTGCAGTACAAACGCACTCGAAAGAGTAGATAATCATGGAAGTGGCCAGCGTAGGCAGTCTATCTTTGGCTAGTTCGGATGATGGGCGAGCCTGAGCTGCGTTGTAGGTCCGTTTCACTGTACGCGTTAGACGTTTGTTCAAGNAACCATGGAAGTGGCCAGCGTAGGCGGTTTATCTTTGTGGCTACTTCGGTTGATGGGCGAGCCTGTGAACACACGCGATAAACAAGCTGCGTTGTAGGTCCGTTTCACTGTACGCGTCAGACGTTTGCTCAAGAGGTCTGATGTAGCATCTTGAAAAGGTACACGAATGAGTAACTTTTTCTTTTGGGCCTCATGAACTTGTTCGGATTGTCGCCTTTCCTGAAAGTTTCTCTCAATGAGCCGTTCAGGTTAACCATTTTCTCTGAGGATGTCCTTATTTGTCAGTTCCTCATCTATCACATTTTCAGAGCAGATCTTTCACGCTCGTGATGTTCAATTTCTATTTGATGGAAAATTATACCGTCGAATTGACGGAGTGGCCATGGGTTCCCCATTGGGCCCATTACTAGCAGACATTTATGGCCAAATTAGAAAGTACAGGGTTGAAGCCAGAAATAGAGCAAATGAGTCTATAATGCCGCTACTTGGACGACATATTCTGTCTCGCACCGAAAGGTAGGAACACTACAAGCTTGCGCAAAAGATTCAATGAAGCTCATGAATCAATTCAGTTCACGTTGGAAACTGAAGAAAATGATAATTTGGCCTTCTTAGACGTGGCACTCCTCCGAAGAAACGATGGTTCTCTAGAACGTCGAATATATAGAAAACTAACTTGGACGGGACAATACACCCACTTTTACAGCTTCGTCCCACTCAGACAGAAAAGAAATTTGATTCAGAGTCTCACATCACGAGCGGGAAAGCAACTCTGAGGTGAGGCGTCGCGTATTTAATAATGATTCCATGGAGAATTTGTTGTCCCATCGAAATCAGATTAGTCGGCTTCGCTGGTTAGGACACGTATTGGGCTCCAGGTTGGAAGAAACCGCGTGGTGGTCAATAGATGATGTGGAAGCGAGGCATGAAGAAACGCACAGAGCGATTAGGTAGAATCGGTGTCTCCCGTCTTCCAGGTTAGGGTCCGAAAGACTCTACAACTGGTTGGCCGGAGACATTGAAGGATATGGCGACTGACCGGCAGCAGTGGCGCTCTTGTTGTCATTTCTTACCAAGGCAGAATGCTTGAAAAAAGGTATGCATGAACACTTAGATTGTGTACTCTGTGTGTTGATCATAGAGGTTATTTTTCTTTGCCTCCTCCCAAGTAGGCCCAATCCCTCTTCATCTTGTGCTTTATCACTTGATTTGTGTACATTGTGAGCTTGGCAGCGATCAGTGAAGCTCGCTTCACTGTATCTCGTTGTACGATAATGATGATGATACGAACGGTGGCGATGTACACCCTTCCCTTAAAGGACAGTCGGATGTTATGGCAGCGCCACGGGTGTCGTAGATTGGCGAATGCTGTTCTAGCTTTCGCTATTCGTGACGTGATCTCTTCCCCAACCCCATCTCTAACTGTGATTAAGCTCCCGAGGTATTAAGGCCAGAGATAGTAAATGCAGGCACAGACTCCTGCTAGTCTTGAGCCAGCAATTTGCATTTTGATGGTGCAAAGCACACACCATATCTGGATACCTGTATCGCTAAGTGGTTTAAAGCGTGTCGGACTGCCTTTGCATTCTCACCCAGCAAGGCGATGTTATCGGCATGTTCTAAGTGAAGAGCTCTGTTCCCTGTGAGCAGTTGAACTGCACCATTTACTAGACCGGACAAAGCGTCCTGCAGAACATCATCTATGGCTTAGTTTAAAAGGAATGGGGATAAAGGGTAGCCTTGTCGAACTCCACTGGAGACGACGAAGGGTGCGAAAGTTGGCCATAGGCCTTAACCGGACCTGAGGTATGACGATGCGACTCTTTGAAGATCGATACATGCTTCTCCGGTACTTCATCCTTCAAGAAACAGTTCCATAGTGCGGTCTTATCGACAGAGTCGGAGTCCGCGTGAAATTCTCCCATACGACCAAGCGTCTAAAATAGCCTCTGTTGAAGAAGCCCTACTTACTGCTTCCTCATGGCTGTTTTTTCGCACTAAAAGTGAGAGGACGGAAGGCCGACATCCGGGGCTACAACCGAGTTGGTGGACCACTGGTAGTTCACCTAAGGTAGTTGGCTAAAAGCCTTGATTCAAAACCGACCAAAAGGCGTACGAACCAAGGTCGTGATAGTGATCGCCGGATCGATGTGGAATCGTGGTGTTCTCGACACCTTGGACATTTGACCCCGTCCAAAGGATGTGTGATCCGGTTAACTGGACACCGGCCCTCAATAGATTGCGGTTTTCGCACACCACGACGCTGCCTTGCGGGTCAGGCTTTGTTTAGCTGAAGGCTCCGGTTGTGAATTCTTCGAGAAAATTCACCTGCCTTGGGATGGACAACCTGGCAGTATTCAGCCCACATGCAACCGTGGAACGTTTTTCTTTTTATAAAAGTTATTGTACCAGGGTTTGTTCGGCACACAGTCTGAGCTCAGAAGTGTATGAAGTATATGTATATCCGTTTCTCCCTAGGGGTGAGATAGTATATTCAAAGGAAGCCAGGTGCCCAAGCAGCAATTAACAAGGATTTTTCAGAAATAAGAGTGTAATCCGTGCCGTTTGTTGATAACACTTGAACTCATTTCGTGTCTTCACCTATTGTGACCGTAACACGTCGGTCATGTTCCGATTACACGAATGGTTTTCTAAGCCCCAAATGATGTTTTTTCTTTCTTTCTAGGGTTTTTCGGTTTAATGCACCCATAATATTGCCGTTTACATGGCGGTTACCGATCGCTGTCGTACTGCGTTGAGAAATTTGGAACCGATGGTACGTGATGATCACATGCAAGCAGATTTAATACAACGTGCATGCACCGATGTTTTTCTAATCGATGGAAAGGTACGTTATTGTTGTCTTAATCCTATTTTCTGACGGAACAGAAACCAACACTGATGGAAGAAGTAGAACTGTTGGACACGTTTGTAAATTACTTCTCTCCGAAATCCGATGATGAAACGAAAACGCGTGTTTTCACCGAACTGTTCCCACTAGACAGAGAAATCTTCCCTGATCGGCTTCAATTCCTCATCAAGATATCGTCATTGGCAATCTACTTGGGCCACAATCCTCTACTGGATTTGATTGCCGTTTGGCTAAAGGTTAGTTTTTGATGATTCCATTCATGTGAATAATGGAGGATTTGGTTAAATTTCAAAGGTGAATTCGTCGTGTATTAGCAAATGAAGCGTGAACTGAAAAGCTAGGAAGCACTGGACAGCTGTTTCGACCTGATTGGGTTTCATCAGCAGTGCGAATCTATCGACCCAACTGGGGGATCGAACTCCGGACCTGACAGGCAGAACGCAAGCATGCTACCCACTCGGCCACCGGGCAGCTGATCAGACCGTTTTTCATTTTCCATTCACACGATATAGCACAACCCATCTTTGCGAGCTTGTTGCGGGCCACAGACCCCGCTCATCTCAGCACTAGCCTCCAGGGTTATGACTCGGTTGGAAATATTCACAACCTGACTACTTATTTCATGTGAGTAATGCAGGATTTGGTTAAATTTCAAAGGTGAGTTCGTTGTATCACACTTCCGCAAGACTTATTCCTTCTCTACCCTTTTTGGTTTTGCCAGAACCATTGATCTACGTCACCCCATGAGGGAGAAGGGAGGGCGCTTGAAATACTTAAAATCCGTGTACTTATGTCTATCAGAAATTACCGAAACATGATTGACCATCGTGTTGTCGCATAAGGAACTTTTTATCCTAATTTATAACCGACCAAAGTCAATCTAGTGCGTAAGGTGGCTTTTTCATTCGCGTTCATCGGATAAATAAAGATTCAGCGGGGCGCCCTCATTTATGCTCTCTCTGTAATAGGGATGATCTCTGAATTAATGTTATATGTTGAATGAGTAGTGGTGGCGCAGTGGTTTAATCGTTTGACCTAGCGGGGCCTTATGTGATTTCCATTACTGAACAGCAGGTCCTCGTAACTATGGGGTTCCATCCCGTCTTCTGCTCATCACACTAAGGTGTGAAATAAAAAAATGTGGCATTGAGCTTCAAGATGGTGAAACTCTTTTCGATTTAAATTACGCCAATATACCGTTAATTGCAGATCCACACGACTAAACTCTTCGCTAGTTGAATCTAATGGCAGTATGTGGCTATTAAATTATGCGAATGTTGAAAATGGCTAAATGAGAAAGGTATTTTAACTTCAACAATCAAACCTCTAACCTGTTTGCGCCCATGAAAACGACAGACCGAAGGGCTACCCCTACTCACAGAACGAGTCCATTTTTCAGTGCTCATAGAACGCTTTGACTCAGATTCACAGAATGTTTTACATGAGGAACTGGTTTCTGTACTCATCATCTTGTCAGTAAATCCATCGAAGACAGAAAACTAATTCAGTCGAGACATCCATAGTTATATTTTGGTGAGAGGTGATTGACTGTAGTCAATAACAATCAACAGTTAGGAGGATAGATTGTGCCACGAACAAAAAACAGACGTGGTATACGCAACTAATGTCGGAGACAATGTTCAAGACAATTCCTAAACGAACAAGGCCACGACCACAGACTAACACACGATCTACAGGTAACCGTAAAACATCTGTAATCGCTCAATCACAAAGCTCTTAATAAATGGATCGTTCTCAGAAATCGAGACCACCCAGTGAAAATAACGTATATTATAAGAGATATGTTGCTCGCCACCGTCTTATCAAGACTCTCAGAGATAATTATGTTGAGATTGTGAAAAGTTCAGTAGCCTGAGTGGGATTTAAACCCACGCATGGGCGCCGCCTACACTTTTTTGCAGCACACGCTCTACCAGCTGAGCTACGAAGCCACTCCGATAGCCCCATCACGACGAGACTGCACCTTGGCGTGGTGTGATGGCTTGCACGCCTCAATGACCCTACGAGCTATACAGGATGGCTCCTCAGCCGCAAATCCAATCATACCTGAAAGGTCAAGGGGTAGAGGCCAAACAAAGCTCAGTCTCACAGGGCCAGCTGCTTGGGCACCTCCTGACTTCCCTCATCTATCCACATCCGCCCCTGGAGAGGTCATTCCAGTACATAAACCTGATGAGGGGCAGTTTACCGGTCAAAAAACCCGTTAGATGGACGTAGGAGCGGGGTAACTGGGGCTTCCTCTCGCCGGTGGGAAAAGTTTTCGCACTTCATTGGACAGCCACCGCTCGTCCAAGCTGGGTAGCCCCCAGCCAATAAGGTGCTGTCCCGTCCACCTTCCGCTTGTCTCATTGGGTGCATGAGTCTGAGGGCTGATCCCGAAAAGCGGACAGAAAANNNNTTTATTTCCTCGTCTCACTCCCATACCTTAAAAGGTGCATCCTGTTTGCGCCACCTATCGGATACCACTCAGCAACTGAACTGAAATGAACTCCGATGGCACTAATCTTTTCACATTCGAACTACCCATCCAGCTTACTGAGGCATATAGTATTCACCAGTTAGCGTGAAAGCTGACTGCCACTACTGGTTTTCCTTAGAATGCACGAGAGTTCACCGAAGGAGCTTTTGAGGCCAGGTTAACTGTTTACATCGTTGTTTGGCAGAGATGAGCCAACATTGTGGATCATGTATCATCCTACTGTGCTGCTAGGAATGTACTGTATATGTTCAAACGTTTTTGCCTGTTTTTTAATTTGGTTATTACAGATCGGAACGGTGGTTCTAGTGATACCAAGAGGCTCTTCCTGCTCAAACCAGGAACAATACATTCTAAGGAAAACAGCTCATGTAGTTGTGCATTTCGAATAGGTAAACTCATGAGGAAACGTCTGGTCATGTTTTTAAATCAGAAAAGATTGAGGTAGAATATCATTGGTGTTATAGTCAACCTTGTGAAAGGTCTGTGCGGATCAGCAGGAAGACAGTGAAGATATGGACGCGCAGGCTGCTTGTGAGATGAGAAGAAAAACTGACACATACAGTAGCACACAAGGTAAGGAGGTGGGGTGAAACGGGGAATGGCCAGTTGAATACCGAATTTCATTCTCGTCCAGAAGCCCCCATGCGCGCCTTGAGGCCGCACCAAAACCAATTCTAGGGTACGACAATTCATTGTTACCGATCCAAGCACGAATACCTTTTTGACGATAAAATTAACTTTTGCCAGACCGCATCGAGTTTAAACGAAACCCTATCGGTTTCCCGTCACTCTTTGTCGACCATCTTATCTGTATTGTATTGCATTGCATTGTGTTGTGTATGACTTTTACAAGCACTGAATCTTACGTTTGACTAAAAAAACTATTCACGCCAACCGTCGCAGAGAACATATTTAGCGGGGGAAAATTGTTCACAGACAGGGACGTATCATAGTCCAATGTTAAGGCGAAGTTCACTTGTTACCCTCTGTTTGTGAATGAACGAGCAAGATAGGGTTTTTTACTATACACCTTCGTGTGATGACGGGGAAAGCCCCATAGTCATTAGGACCTGCTGTTCAGTGATGGAAACCTGTAACTCAGGCCCCAGGATCTGAAGTGGCGAACCACAGAGTGCCCCGCTAGGGTAGACGTGGTATTGAACGGGACGACAGCAAAGTTGCCTACCTCCATATAGGGAAATTTCGGAAAGCGTTTATACGAGGTGACGTTTAGTGGGATCGCGAGCTTGTCCGTCCAGCGTGCAATGACCACCTTACTAATACTGAGATCGATCTAACTATTTATCTGCTAATTTGATACAGTGTATCTTTGCATATTTCCGTTCCTCTTTGTCTGTCAGGTTCGTATCGCTTATCTTTTCGCGGCCGCACTCTATCCACCCACCATGCAATCCATTACAAGCATGTACCATACCATAAGCAGTTACGTAAGCGGTACCGTGACCGATTTGCTCAGCATCCCCAAATTACCATGCGGACCGCAAATCTGTTTAAATGCTCCGATCAAAATGGACGAAGGTTGTGATGAGCACCCGCTCGCAGCACTGCCCACTTTATCGTCCGCGTTTGTGGATGCGCTGTTGTCAGGTATTACTCTTATCTACGGGCATGCTCCCAGTTTGGGTACGTCTCAAATGACCGTCTGTAAAACCGATCGCTCAATGACCTTTTGTGCAGAAGAGATCTTCATTTCTGATGACCACACCTCCATTTCTCCAATCTCTAAGTCTCTTTCTTAAAAGAAACGCATTTGGTTAATCTCTCTTTCCGATTCGGTCATAGGTATTTCAGCTCGGAGTGGGTCTGATCGAGACCCTACTTGCTGTTCAAGTCAAGTCAAAAATCGCTTTATTCATCCTAATGGATGGATTCTCAGCCTCCTGCACTCCAGGAACATTTGTCATCGCACACAATCACACAAAATTGAAAAACAGCATCGTAAATTCAAAGAAATGTAGAGTAGAAGTTTGAAAATGAGAAATTCAAAAAATTTTCTCTAGCAGATGCCTTTTGAGTCAGAAATCTTGAAAAGTAGGGGATGACGGACAAACGATAGGCAATGGTACAAGTATACATCAGTTTATAACGACATCCATTTGTTGATATAGCCTTTCGTTGAATAAAACCAAAACTTTGAGCGTGAACTCCAGGGACAGATGTTTTAACTTGAATATTGGCAATTATAGCGAAGCTCTTTTGTTTGATGTAGTCCCCAGTAGATCAGAGGGTTTCGGTTGGTGGTAAGTTGGTAAACTGTTATACTATTGTATGGTAGCACAGGGCACGAAACACAGTCTCTTCCAGAGACTACATACAGCACCTCAAAGACAACACAGGTCTCTACAGAGACCGCACACACAGTACTACTGTGAGCACAAGGCAAAGTTCTCTTTCGCTGAGAGATTACACGCATAGTAGGTGACTAGAGCACAAACACAGAGCGACACAGCTAAGTCTCAGATCCCCTTGAACTCTCTCTGATCGTGATCATTAGAGGATTTCTAGCCTAACGTGGCCTTTACCACCAGGCCATCACCGCCCGCCGACTTATCGTTATGGTCCCATGTATTCTCAATGACTGTTCCATTTCGTTTTTCGGATTGCCTATTGTATTATCACCGCGCCTGTTGTCTAATTTTGAGTGTGTGACGAAGGAAACATTGCGTAATCCCAGAAGCTACGTTTCGATCTTTTTTTTTCTCGTTCCTCGTCTCACCCACAGACTGTCTTCTTTTTTCTTTTCTTTGACTGTGTCACATTGCTGTCAGTCTCCATGATTCTGAAAAATAATCCCAAAGAAGTCAGCCCCATTGGTCAACCACCGGCCGCTCTGGTGCACTGTATTATATTGTGGTTACAAGTTGCGCGAACACATCCGCGTTCACATCATTCTTCTGGCTCACATGGTTCTGTCGGTAGCTGGGCCTCGGTCGATTGGCCCGGGATAATTCGACGTTACAAATTCCATACACACCTGCCATCTAGTGCGGAACCTGTGCACACCCACTGCCCCCCGATTCCCATAGGTTTGGCTTGGTGGACCTTATTCTGGCCCATTTATACCGAAATGTGAGTATTAAAATACTGATATCCTTTGATAAACGTGACCGTACACGATAGAAACACACGTGCAGGAAGAAATCATTTAGTGTGTGGGCAGCATCGTTACAGCAAATGTGGACAGAAAAAGTGATACGCATGTATGGTGTTTGCAGCTGACGATGGAACTGTAGTTACCAAGTTACACAAGCTTGTGTGAGTGATATCTAGACTTTGCATAATAATAAACTGATTATTATTGGCATTCACAGTACGAATCCATCTGTTTATTATTCTGGATATATTATGAATAGTAAAAAATGCAAATTTTCTCAATACTTCTTCATTCGACTTAATATGAGTCCAACTGATATTCATTCCACATCTCTCCCTCTCTCTCCACCGTTGAATGAAATTAGGCGTCGTGATCCCGAGGAAAAACTGCTCGCAGTTCATATGGCTGAATTGCACTATGAACTACTTCTGGTGAGTGCCCGATACCCGATCGACGTGCTTCATTGTTTCGTTTGTGATACAGAAGGGAGGTGGTATCAAATTTGCGGCAGTACCATGTGAATTATAAAGGGAAACCTATGTTTTTACTGCTGAAACGATGGATCAAAATCAATGATCGTTATTGATCACAAGCTCCTTCCTCTACTTTGTTCCAGACTTAAAAAAAGTTATTCTAAAAAGTCCAGGTCAAAACCTCAGTGTAATTACTGCAGCTACAATCAATAATTAAAATTGGGTGTGGGCTAAACGATCTGCAAAGCTGACGGTTCGCCCATGCATAATCAATAGCGACGTCTTGCACGCTGGGCGGAGCACTTCAAAGCACAGTTTAGCCGGCCACCAACGTCAGCTACTCACAGCTATTCCGGCACACGTCCCATGGTCTGTATCAACAGACCCACCTACTGAAGCGGAAATCCGTAAGGAGATCCAAGCCATGGGACGTCACAAAGCGCCGGGCTCCGATGGCCTTCCCCCTGCTCTATTTAAAGATGGTGGAATGACGTTTGTTAGAAAACTACAAGTCTTGCTCTCTAAAGTTCGCAAAACTGAGTAGGTTCGCTCTTCGTGGGCGGAGTCGGTTGTCGTCCCCATCTNCCCCATCTTTAAAAAGGGCCCGCGCAGTGACAGCGCCAATCATAGGGGCATAAGCCTGATCCCACCAGCGTCAAAGCTGTTGGCGTCCGTCATTCTCCACCGATTGTACACTATGCGTAAAGAGCAGATCCGCGAAGGAAAAGCTGGGTTTCTTGGCAGTCGTGGATGCATCGATCAAATCTTCACCCTCGGACAGCTGCTAGAGCACCGTCATGCCTATCAAAGACATAAATATTATTGTACCGTGATTTGTTTGTCACACAGTCTCGATTCAAAAGTGTGTGAAAATAATATAATGTATCGATCTTCAAAGAGTCGCATCGTCATACCTCAGGTCCGGTTAAG